GAGTTCAGATCATGTTGGCGCAGTACCTGGCACACCGTAGTTGCTTATAAATATTTGATAAACAGTCTCTCCATAGCATTCGCCTTAGGTAGCTGGCAGCTCTGGGTGGCATCCCAGAAAGATGCGGATCTCCTGGGCTTGGTGTGGCCACCACACAGTAGGGTCTTGAGGAACAGCAGGAGGCCCGGCGCAGGCCTTCTGCGGGCAGCACCAAGAACCCTCCGCAGCCACAGCCGCCTCCGTCCCCGCCCCCGCCAGCCCCGGACATATGAGGTCCACGTCCCGCGCAACAGCGCTCCGGGAGAGGGGCGCGGGGTTGAGGAACCCGTGAGGCCACTAGAAGACCCAGCGAGACGCCAGCGAACTCCATCTCCCACAGGACCCCGCGCACGACTCCGTTTCCCACAATTCCCGCTCCGCTTCCGGCGTGGCGGAGGCGCCTCCGTCGACTTCCGGGTTTGGGCCTGGCGCTGCGATTGAGGCGGCGGCAAGCGAGCGGGGCGCGGGTGGTGGGACCCGAGAAACCGGCATGGACGTTTCGGGGCAGGAGACCGACTGGCGGAGCGCCGCCTTCCGGCAGAAGTTGGTCAGTCAAATGTGAGTAGAGGCCGGGGCGGCGGGAGGGACCCCCGGACCTTCCCCCCAAGCCCTCCCTACCGCGGCGGGCGAGGCCCGAGCCGGAGACCCTCGGGAGACCTGGGGCGCCGGGACCCGCGGAAACCCGTGGGCGCCGGGAGCCCGAAGGCGCCGGAAACCCGCGTGAGCCCCAGGGCGCGGCCCAGACCCGGGCTCTCCCAACCCCTGGCGGTCCCTTCCGTTCTCGGCCTACACGGACTGCCTGTTAGCTTTCCTGGGGCCGAATTCTGCAAACCGAAGAGCCCAGGCTTGTGAGTCATCGTCTTGAGCTTTCTCATTCGCCATTTGTGTGCTTTGGATTTAGACTTTCCCCTGCTTCGAGTCACACTGAATACGAAAATAAAAGGGGTAGCCCGCAGTGGTTTTAGGCGTTCTGGGCGCTTTGTGATCGCAGCCCATCCGAGTGAGAGAAGGAGAGCCGAGGGGGTTGAATAGAAGGTGAGGTTGGGAGGCTGGGTGCTTGGGCTGTGGTGCCTTGAGGACGGAGAATCTTCGGATGACTCCCTCCCCACCCCGGAGTAGGGACCTCGGCCAAAGGGTGGCAGGAAGAGGCTGTCAGGAAGCGACCGTCGTTTGGGAGGAGGTGGTGAAGAATTGGGGTTCGTGCCTCCTCCCCCCAGCATCAGCTGTTGAACCCCTCCGTGCCGGGACTGTCGTTGCGCTCCAGGCTTCACCTAGCGGAAATCCAGCTTCTCGCCACCGTTGCTTGTTTTTTTAAAGCAGTCTTCGGAGCTTACTGGCATTGGTGCTGGCCTCAGATTTGCTGGGACAGCCCCTGCCCTCTGGGAGCGCTCTACCTGAAGGAACAGTTAACAGTGCAGTCATTCTTCTAGGAAGAATTGACAGTTTGCTTGAGCAGGCCAGGGGCAGCCTTGTGGAGTAGGTGAACGAATAAACTGAGTCCTAAAAACAAGTAGGGGTGGGAAGGGCCATCATTCCAACCTCAGGAGTGGAGAAATGTGAGCACTCACAGCATGGAGGACAGTGCTGTAGGCTGAAAGTTCGGGGGTTTGAGGAGTAAGGAGTTCCAGGCACGATAATGGAATGAGGGTGAGCAGGTGCTAACACGTTAGTGGTGGGAGTGCTGTGCTAAGGAATTGAGCCTGTATTTGGCATGTGGCCTGATTTGAGGTAGTAAGATGCCAAAATTGGGACGATCCCCCGAGTCCTTAGACATGAATCAAGAACAGGAGAGAGGCTAGTTAGGCCATTATGAGAGCTTTGAGCTGTGAGGTCTGGGACCTTGTCGTTTTCCATACTTGTATTCCCACTGCTGGATCACTCCTTGTCCTGTTTCTCTGTCAAATGGTTGTGGAATCATCTACTCAGGCAAGAGATTATAAAGGCCTCATTAGACAGTGATGCAAACTGAAAGAGGAAGACCATTCCAGAGAAAGGGGTGAGTGAACATAGGCAGTCCTTGATGACTAACTGGATGGAGGGGGTGGGGTGCAGTAGAGGGGAAGGAAGTGGTGTGGAATGCCGGGAAACCTCAGTACAGTGGAAGGAGTGGGGACGGTTCAGTTAGTGGCTCAGGGCACTGCTGTAGATTAGTCTGGGGACAATTCTTCAGATATTTCAGAATAAGTGAACATTGTGTTTTTGATGGACTGGAGTTGTCTGTAGATGAACTCTTGAGGGATGCCCCATTTCAAGTCACCCTCAAGAAAAGCCCTCAGGGCAGATTCCTCTTTGGGAAAGCCCCGAATTTGAACAGAGAATAAGTCGTCATCAAAGGAAATCGGGAGGGCAGCAGCAGGGCTTGTCAGAGGGCTGCGAGTGTGATTGAAGAGTCTCTGGGTGTTGAGGACTAACAGTGCTTCGTAATTCAGCTTTCTTCCAGGGAAACTGGATTCTTTTTTTTTTTTGCCAGATAGCTGCTTCTGTGTTAGTTTTCTATTGCTGCCACAAACGAAATACTACAAATATAATGGCCTAAAACAACACAAATCTATTATCTGACAGTTTCTATAGACAAGAGGTCTAAGTAGGTTCAGCTGAGTCCTCTGCTTAGGGTCTTATATGGCTGGTATCAGGATGTTGGCAGGGGTGCATTTCCTCTTGGAAGCTCTCGGGGAGAATTTACTTCCAAGCTCATCCAGATTGTTGGTCAAAATCAGTTCCATGCAGCTGTAGGACCTAAGGTGCCCTCCACTTACTGGCTGTTTGTTTGCCAGGGATCAGTCTTTGTTCCTAGAAGCTGCTGCTATAGTCTCTTTTGCTATTTATGTGACCCCTCCAGCAAGGGTTCTGATGCTGCATCTCTGACTTCAGCCAGAGGAAATTCTCTGCTAAAGGCTCAGATTAGATTGGGCTCACTTGGATAATCCAGGGTGATGTCCCTGTTTTAAAGTCTATATATAACCGTAACTATGTAAAGGGGAAGCCCCTTCTGCCATATAATGTAGCATATTCACAGGTTCCCAGGATTAGGGCATGGACACCTCCCAGGAGCCCTTCTGTCTACCACTGCTAGGGCAGTTTCAAAGGCTGTGTGCTTAGCATGATGCGGTTATTCTTCATTCTCAGATTTGACTGTTTTCTCTCTAGGATTCACTTTGAAAATCATGATTCTCGAAGTCTTGATTTATTGTGTTCACAGTGTTAAAGAGGATTTAGGTCAGCATACTTGACATGCCTTCAGTTCTAACTTCCCCTGGTGTTTATGCTGTTATTTAAAGTTGGCTAGCTTATCTTGCGAGATATTTCAAACCCAAGTAATTTATAGTTTAGTAAGGTAATAAAGAAAGCAGAGTGAAGAACTGGGGAACTGAGGTGGGGGAAGCATCTGATAGCTGGTTCACTGTCTCCCGGCTCTTGAGCATCTACCAAGAGGGCAGTGTCAGAGCACGGGCTAAATGGACAAGTCTCTGACTGCCACTGGGGAAAAGAGGTTTTGAGTCGGGTGGTTAGGAGAGCCCTTGTGGGGACTCTCTAGTGCAGCCTCTTCTTAACCCTCCACTGCCTCTACCCATCCTGGGCTGCTGCAGACCTGTCAGTGACTTCCCCTAGCATTAGAAAAAAACTCCAGATGTCCTGTCCTCCCAGCCCCTCACCATGGCCTGGCCTCACCACCTTTTCTCAAATCCCCACCCTGTTTCGACTGCCCTGGTCTTTCAACTTATTGATCATTCCAAGTTCTTTGTTTTTCTCTTTTTAAACAGTTTGTTATCAAGTATTTAAGGTATTCAACAGTGGGTAGGCTTCCCTGTGTTCCCTACAACTCCTCTGTGTAGACGTCTACTTAAATATCAAATATTCAAGATCCTTTCCTGTCTGCCCTGCCTAAAGCAGGTCACCCTCTCTGATATGTTTATCTCAGCCCCTTTTAGTTTCCCATATGCCTCTAGGAGTCATGGCACCTGCCATATAAAGCACCTGTTGAAGAGTTAAAGAGTAGTTTTCTGGGGACTGTGTGTGGCAGACTCTCATACTACATAGTGGGCTTCTTTACTTGCGCCAATGTGCATTGTGAGGCTCTGGAACCCCCACTTTCTCCACTTGTTAGCCAAGTGACCTTGGGCAGATCACTTAACCTTTCAGGATCATACCCTTCATCTGTGAAATGGTGGAGTCCAGCCTGCCTCACTGGGAAGGTGGAACGGAAAATGCAGAGACCACTGCTTGAGCCCTAGCAGAAGGCTCGGCACTCAGTGATGCCTCCTCCTTGGGCCCTTGCAAGAACAGGAGCTTTGACTGGTGAAGGTGACACCCTGAGCCTGATTAGGGGACACTTAAAGGAGCCTGGGTGACAGTAGTTGTGAAGCTGGTTGTGGCTTCAGATTGGCTCTTTGTTGAGCATCTACTCTCCCTGCAGGATCACTGGGAAAGCCCCCCTTAGACTCCCCAGGCTGGTCTTTGTGGGCCTTCCTGTTGGGATTGCTGAGTTAGTGTTGGGCACGTGTGTGGTCTGTAGGCTTCTCAAAAAGAAGCACATTTCTGTCGTGGTCCCCACTGTGCCTGACAGAATTGGAAGGCAATGAATGAATGGCAGGACTTCACCAATCATTTCTTATAGTTATTTAAAATATTTCTGCTATCTTATTCTTGAGATCTTTATGCCTCCCACCCCTCAGTACTGCAGATTGCACACCAGGCATGAAATAAATAAATGTTTCTTGGGATGAACAGATTGCAGAGGGGAGGAGAGCTGGGGGAAGGGCAGCCCTGCATTGGAGCTCTAGTTGTGTGTCAGGCAGGGAACAGAGCCAGGACAGCCACCTCTTCTGGCAAAGCCCCCAAGGGAGACGTGAGCTCGGGGACTTAGGAGATGTGGAGATTTTGGCCTAGACTGGGAGGAGAAAGTTGAGTTTTACTTAGCCAGAAACACCAGAAGAAAAGAAGGAACAAAGAACAACCAGACAGCTGCTTCCCAGGGTCTGGGGAGGCCTTTGGGAGGATGGGGAGTGCCCTGAAATTTGCATGTCTAGATCCTGCCTGTGGGTTGTGCTCTGCCCACAGGCAGAAGTGAGTGACTATTGGCCAAACCTTTTCAGTGGCTTATCCCACTCAGGCCTCCCAACACCCCTGTGCCATCCTGGTGCAATGACAGCTTGTATTTGCCAGCGGGGAAGCTGCTGAGCCCCACTGCGTTCTTTACAGCCTGGGCTGGCTTACAGGCTTCTGTGTATGATCTGTGCCAGAGGCCAGGCCCATCTGTCTGATCTCCTCCAGACCTTAGTGCCCCTGATGGCGACTAGACACAGGTGGTGGGCCACTGGATTCAGAGGCCTGACGCTTGGCCCTCCAGCCTCTAGACCAGGAGGGGCAGGGACCTGAGAGGACGTGGGCCCTCAGTCGTCTGCTCAGGAGTCTGGGGCTTCCTCCTCAGCAGCAGTAAGAGCAGGTGCCGTAATGGGTGTGCTGTGCCAAGTACCTTTGCAGAGACATCGTTAGCTTCACACTTGCTGTATGAATTGCAATCCATGCACTTGTCACTCCCATTTTTAAAAATGAAGAAACTGAGGTGTAGAGGAGCAGTCATCGCCGCTGATGATCGCGCTGTCTGTTGCAGATGAATGCTCGCTGAACCATATCAGGACAGCAGAGGCAAACCGCATTTTAACCTTTAAAAGAGAGGTTGCACCTCTTGGGGAAAGTGGGGAGATGAAACTGGAAGGTTAACCCAAGCCAGGTGCATGGGAAGAGCTGATTAGAGGAGCTGCTGCTGGTGGGCATCCCCTTGCCAGTTTTAGCAGCTCCCTGTGGGTCACTGGGCCCCAAACAGTGGCTGAAGGGCCAGCCAGCAAGCCCCTGGTGGTCTTTGGCCTTCTTACCACCTCCCTTTTGTAAGTGACCCCACCTGCCTCCCATAGCTGAAGCCCTTGCATCCGTTCCTGACCAGAAGTCTCCCAACTCCTACTGCCGTTTGTGACGAGGTGGCTGTGGCCAGTCTAAGACCCGTGTTGGGCATTCCCGGGAGGGGAGACTCATGACCACATGATTGTCTTCCTGGCACTGTCACACAGGGCAAGGGGGTACTTGCCCCCTGTAAAGCATTCTTCAGCACAGTAATGTTGGTACATACCTAAAGAATACATTTTTAAAGGAATTCTGATGAATTTTTCAAAATTCAGAATAGAAAGTTTAAATCATAGAACCAAGTAGTATAAAGAGCGCATGCCCGTGTATCCACCATTCTGCGTCAAGTTACCAACTCCTGTTTTATGGGCTCCAGCCCCTGCCCCCAAATATTTTGATTCAGAATGTTTAAAGGGCTGCCCCTGCCTGTGGATTCAGCTCTGAGCCTGGACCCCTCCTCCAGGGTCTCCGTGGGTCTGCCTGCACCATTGGACTGCTTGCGGGGCCTCAGAGGAGCCCAGCTCTTTCCTCCCCCGGCTGCTCAGCATCCTCTTTGTTCCTATCCTTCCCGCGGCTGAGCACTGCAGTCCCGTTCTACTCATGCTCCCGGGACACTGGGCCGCCTGCTGCCCCCGGTCTCATCACACACACACTCCATGAAGTTACCAGTTCCCGCTTGGATTGTTTGAACACTCATCCTGCACCCCACCCCCACCCCCAGTCTCTAATGGCAGGAACACCACTGAGTTTTTGAACCTTGCAGTCTGTTCTTGTATCCCCAGAAGTGCTGTGGTGTGCAGATCCCTGAGCACCGCTGTGGCCCGTTTGGCCTCCGGTGTCACTGGGCTGGCCTGAAGGGCATTTACGGCAGAGCTGGAGAAAGCTGTGACACCACACAGGTGAAGAGGCAGACAGGCCCGCATCCTCATGAGCGGCTGCTGGGGCCACGTAAATTAGGCCATTTTTCTGAAAGGCTGCTTGGGAATACTGTTCATTCCAGTAAGTTTAAAATGTCTATTTCCTTAGGCATTTCCTGCAAGGCTGTAAGCTCAGAGCCTGGTGGCAGTGAGGATGCTCGTCTCCACATCATGCCAGGAGTGGTGCAGGGACACAAGCCAGCATTGGAGCTGGGGTAGATTTGTTGTGGCCACAAGTGGCAGGCTGCTGTTAAATGGCATGGGAGACACTACATAACATGTTGATGTTGAGAAGAGCAGGTGAGTAAGCAGGATGCTTGGTATGGGCTGAGTTTTGTAAAGTTTTGTTAACTTTAACTGGTCACCTGAGTGATTATTATTTTCTTTCTAATTTTCAGTACATACGTGTCTGTGTATTAAAAAATTTTTTTTTATTTTGGTATCGTTAATCTACAATTACATGAGGAACATTATGTTTACTAGACTCCCCCCATCACCAAGTCCCTCCCACATACCCCATTACAGTCACTGTCCATCAGCGTAGTAAGATGCTGTATAATCACTACTTGTCTTCTCTGTGTTGCACAGCCCTCCCTGTGCCTCTCCTCCTGCATTATGTGTGCTAATAGTAATACCCCTTTTTTTTCCCCCTTATCCCTCCCTTCCCACCCATCCTCCCCAGTCCCTTTCCCTTTGGTAACTGTTAGTCCTTTCTTGGGTTCTGTGCGTCTGCTGCTGTTTGGTTCCTTCAGTTTTTGCTTTGTTCTTATACTCCACATAGGAGTGAAATCACTTGGTACTTGTCTTTCTCCGCCTGGCTTATTTCACTGAGCATAATACCCTCTAGCTCCATCCATGCTGCAAATGGTAGGATTTGTTTCTTTCTTATGGCTAAATAGTATTCTATTGTGTTTATGTACCACATCTTCTTTATCCATTCATCTACTGATGGACACTTAGGTTGCTTCCATTTCTTGGCTATTGTAAATAGTGCTGCAATAAACATAGGGATGCATCTGTCTTTTTCAAACTGGACTGCTGCATTCTTAGGGTAAATTCCTAGGAGTGGAATTCCTGGGTCAAATGGTATTTCTATTTTTAGTTTTTGAGGAACCTCCATACTGCTTTCCACAATGGTTGAACTAGCTTACATTCCCACCAGCAGTGTAGGAGGGTTCCCCTTTCTCCACATCCTCGCCAACATTTGTTGTTGTTTGTCTTTTGGATGGTGACGATCCTTACTGGTGTGAGGTGATATCTCATTGTGGTTTTAATTTGCATTTCTCTGATGACTAGCGATGTGGAGCATCTTTTCATGTGTCTGTTGGCCATCTGAATTTCTTCTTTGGAGAAGTGTCTGTTCAGCTCCTTTGCCCATTTTTTAATTGGATTATTTGCTTTTTGTTTGTTGAGTGTGTGAGCTCTTTATATATTTTGGATGTCAGCCCTTTATCAGATCTGCCATTTATGAATATATTCTCCCATACTGTAAGATGCCTTTTTGTTCTGCTGATGGTGTCCTTTGCTGTACAGAAGCTTTTCAGCTTGATATAGTCCCACTTGTTCATTTTTGCTTTTGTTCCCCTTGCCCGGGGAGATATGCTCATGAAGAAGCTGGTCATGTTTATGTCCAAGAGAGTTTTGCCTATATTTTTTTCCAAGAGTTTTATGTTTTCATGACTTACATTCAGGTCTTTGATCCATTTTGAGTTTACTTTTGTGTATGGGGTTAGACAACGATCTAGTGTCATTCTCTTACATGTAGTTGTCCAGTTTTGCCAACACCAGCTGTTGAAGCAGCTGTCATTTCCCCATTGTATGTCCATGGCTCCTTTCTCATATATTAATTGACCATATATGTTTGGGTTAATATCTGGACTCTGTATTCTGTTCCACTGGTCTATGGATCTGTTCTTGTGCCAGTACCAAATTATCTTGATTACTGTGGCTTTGTAGTAGAGCTTGAAGTTGGGAAGCGAGATCCCCCTGTTTTATTCTTCCTTCTCAGGATTGCTTTGGCTTTTCGGGGTCTTTTTTGGTTCCATATGAATTTTAGAACTATTTGCTCCAGTTCGTTGAAGAATGCTGTTGGTATTTTGATAGGGATTGCATTGAATCTGTAGATTGCTTTAGGCAAGATGCCCGTCTGTGTGTATCTTTTTTAACAGTGAACATATATTACTTTAGTGATCAGAAATCTTAAGAAGAGGTCGACCCAATTTGCAAGTCAGGAAGAGGGGAGCTGTGGTCAGCTATGGCTACCATGAGATAGAAAGTAACATGTGCTCTGCCTTCGGGGCATGTGACCTTCCTCACCTGGGCCCTGAGTGCGGGCACAGCCTTCCCGAGATGATTCGATCCTTTCCATCCCTGCTAACAAGCATTCTTTCTTTCTGAAACTGTCCCTCTAGATTGCCCTCCATCCATGCTGGTGGGAGAGCCTCAGCCAGGTGCTATCTCCTTGCCAGCCCCTCTGGTCACCGATGGCTGGCCTCTCTCTTCCTCTTCTTCTGGTCTCTTCGTCCCCTCTCTTGTTGGAGGTTTGCCTTGGCCTCATCCCCACCTTGTGAGCCCCCATGGCTCAGCCTGTGGCAGTTCCTCTTACTTCCTTTTGAGTTCATAGGGTGCTCACCAGGTACATCCTGGCAGGTACCAAACAGATTTTTTTGTCTACTTTTGCACCCATTTTCGTGTTTTTCTTCTTTGCTGACAGTAAATTCTGTGAGTGTAGGACCTGGTCTTCCACCTCCGCATCTTACTGAGCTCCTTACTGGGCTCATCTTACTGGGCCCAGAGCCTTGGCTCAAGCAGAAGGTGCGTGATGGTGGCAGGTAGGATTGTGGGAAGCAGTGGTGGCTCGCCTCTGCCTGCTGCCAGAACTTCCTCCATCCATGCTGCCTAAACACCGAACTGCTTCTAATTCTGAGCCTTTTTTTTTTAATTGAGACATCTTTTATGACAGGGGAATTCAGGCTGTCACTGGATGGTTCTATTTAACAGATAAGGAAATGAGTACCCAGTCGTGAGGAACAAAGGGGGATGCTTTAGGGGCCCAGACACAGTCATCTTGTAACTCACCCCTCAAGGGAAACATCCCCTTCACTTTAATAAGAAATCTCTTGCTAACCTAAGTGGGAACCTGTTAAAAAGGTTGGAGGTGAACTGAGTTAAATGATGGAATGAGTTAAATGTCTCACTGTTTCTTAAGGCATTGAGTTCTTGGAGAAGACAGTTGACCTCCTGAAGTTCCAGCTCTCCTCATTTTGAGCTTTTTATTTTGCAGATGTTTCCAAACACAGAGTTGGGAGGATAGTATTGAGTGCCCAGGTATCCCCTCCCCTCAGACTCACCAGTTCTTTCACACGCATCTTCTTGGTGCTCATTTTTGATGAAAGCAGCCAACTGCTGTCTTGCTTCATCCTCCTTTTTGACCCTGTTGCTCCTTCTCCCTCATCCCCCCAGGCTGCTTTTAGTTCTCTGGGAATCGGCCAGAGGGGCGGGGAGAGAACGGTAGCGGCCTGGCTGCAGGTCGGCCTTTGAACCGCATCCAGTCTGGGAGAAGGACAGCAGGGCAGGTGAGGCCTATCCAGGCGAAGCGCCCCAGGCCAGAAGGCCCTCTGCTCCCCCCGTGCAGGCTCTGGCCGTGTTGAGGGGCCGTTCTTGTTGGCTAAGAAGTGGCTCATCATTGTCCCCACTGTTCTCCCTTCTCCCCAGCTCCCTGTTAGTCCTCGTCAGAGGTGATGTGTGAGGAAGTGACCTGACTGCTGTGTGAAGGCTGTAGCTCCTGTTGAAAGGTAGAAAGAAGGCCAGATTTGCCCCAAGGAGCCCTGATGGATTACCCTGGGCCTTTAAAAGTCTGTGGGTCTGCTTTGAGTCATGCCAGGGAGGATTCCCACCCTGAAAGGGGCTGCGGGGATCCCTGCCAGGAATTCCCTGCGGTAGGAATTCAGGTGCAAGGTCATGTAAGTCCAAACCTAGGGATGGGGCAGGATCCTGGGGCCAGGACTCCAGAGCTTTTGCTTGTCTCACTTAGTGTTTCTTTATTTTAAAGTATGATAGACCTACCATAATGAATGACACAAGGACACAAATCTGTGTGATGCTACCGGGTGAATGCTCACACATGTAGATGCCCTGATAGCCCAGATCTCATCTTGAGTTGCAGCACCCAGTAGGCTCCTCACTGTGCTTGAGCCAGTGTAGGCCCTTTCCCACCCTTCTGACTTTCCTGGCCACGGGGACATTGTTCTTAAACTTCCTGTCATTGGATTTGCACTCCATGCAATCTTGTGTCTGGCTTCTGTAATTCAGCATCCTGTCTATGGAATTCCTCCTCGTGGGTAGGAATTATTCTTACTTATGCAATGTGTCATTCCATAGCATAATTCAACCCCAGCTGTCTGTCCTTTTTTTTTTATTAAGGTATCATTGATGTACACTCTTATGAAGATTTCACAAGAAAAACAATGTGGTTACTATATTCACCCTTATTATCGAGTCCCCCCCACACCCCATTGCAGTCACTGTTCATCAGTGTAGTGAGATGCCACAGAGTCCGTTTGTCTTCTCTAATTCACACTGTCTTCCCCGTGACCCCCCACACACCATGTGCACCAATCATAATACCCCACAATCCCCTTCTTCCTCCCTCCCTACTCGCTGTCCCCCACCCCTCCTCTTCGGTAACCACTAGTCCCTTCTTGGAGTCTGTGAGTCTGCTGCTGTTCTGTTCCTTCAGTCTTGTTTTGTTGTTATGCTCCACAAATGAGGGAAGTCATTTGGCATTTGTCTTCCTCTGCCTCTCTCATTTCACTGAGCATAAGACCCTCCAGCTCCATCCATGTTGTTGTAAATGGTAGGATTTGTTTCTTTCTTACGGCTGAATAGTATTCCACTGTGTATATGTACCACCTCCTCTTTATCCATTCATCTACTGACGGACACTTAGGTTGCTTCCATTTCTTGGCTATTGTAAATAGTGCTGCGATAAACATAGGGGTGCATCTTTCTTTTTCAAACTGGGCTGCTGCATTCTTAGGGTGAATTCCTAGGAGTGGAATTCCCGGGTCAAATGGTATTTCTATTTTTAGTTTTTTGAGGAACCTCCATACTGCTTTCCACAATGGTTGAACTAGCTTACATTCCCACCAGCAGTGTAAGAGGGCTCCCCTTTCTCTGCATCCTTGCCAGCATTCGTTATTCCTAGTCCCAGCTGTCTTTTATGTTCTACACTTGACAGATGTTGGGGTTAGTTCCAGTTGTTGGCTATGTGAAGACAGTGCCAGGGCTGTTTTGGGTCA